TGTCAAAGAGATGTTATTGGGAAAATAACAATAAAAATGGAAGCCGCCATTTTATGCATTTCGATGTGTTGAAATTCTGCTGAGCTAGCGCGAATTTATTTGGGAAAGCGGCACAAAATAACACAAAAGGTAGTAGTAGTAGTAGCTCGCACAACTTTATGCACTTCCCAAATCCATAACTAGTAGTCGTCTTTTGCTTTGCGTTTTCGCATGTTTATGCAAATGCAAAGACGCATATTGTCAGGCAATTGTGTGTATTTGCATTTTGTCACCCACTTTCGGCTCAGCTTCTTAGCTTTTCTGGTTGAACTCTCCCTTTTTATGCGTTTTTGCTTATATGCAAATGCAAAAACACGTGTTGTGACGACTCCGGTGTGTATGTGTGTGTGTGTGTGTGTATGTGTCCGGGTATTTCGCCTCGGCACCCAAGCAAGCTCTGGCGCCAAAATTTTTCCAGTGGGTTCCCCGACCAAGTGCCACCCAGGGTCCGTGGCACCGACCCTCATGCATGTCTACGCCTCGTGTACGAAAGCCTCAAAGTTTTGGCGGGAAAATCGCTAATTAAGAAGTCAAAGAAGCTAGAAAGCTGAAACTTTGCGTTTATGTTCCCTTTCCATATAGAATACAAAGACTTCAAATCCTGTCTCCAGGCATGAGTGGTTCTCACGTGCGGTCTTGTGAAGATTTCTGGCACGAAAGTCGCTAAATTGGAACCCAGGGAAGCTAGAAGGCTGAAATTTTAAGGGGATGTTCCCAGTTCGTATACAACTGAAATTTATTTAATTCAACCCCCAGGCATGCGTGATTCTTACGTGCAGCTTCATGAAAGATTTTGGCGAGAAAATTTCTAACTCGAGGCCGAGGGAGGCTGAAATTTTCAGAGAATGTTCCTAGCACATTTACAACTTAAAGTTATTAAATTCAGCCCCTCTCTAGGAAACCTGGAAAGCTGAAATTTTAATGGAATGCTCCCTGTCCAAGTACCGCGTAGTAATTAATTTCCCGAGCTTCGAGCACCAGTATTTCACACATTTTAGGTAGTGGGTTTCCGAGCGATCTCACTGCAGCACGAAATACTGCAAAAACGCATGATCGCACGTGCCCGCATGGTGCGAGTCGCCAATGATTGAAATCACCAGTATGGGGTCTAAAAGAAATCGTCAAAAAGTTTTAGCAGGGGGACGATCTCGGAAGCTAGGCAAGATAGTTGTTTGAAACTCCATCTGTCTTTGTGCAAGCTAAAGATTTCAAATTGCAGCTACCGTGCATGCCTAGGACACATCAAAGCTGAAATCAGGAAAGCGTTGGCAAAGTGCCAACTTGGGGCTAGGCTGATTAGAATGCTTTCAGTCATGTGCGGGCAGGTAGACATGAAGCGAACACTGATGTATATCTCTATTGCACAGTCGGATTTGTCAGATATATTTGTGATGGGAAACGATTTCACCAACTAGTCAAGCTAGAAAGCTGAAATTTTACGAGGATATTTTATGTCTATTTGCGACTTATGAACATAAAATTTAGCTTTAAAGCTCGCTTGGGTCTCGCATGCACGCGAGTGGAAGTTTAGCTTGAAAAATGGCTGATATCAGGTTAACGCGATAACCAGGTAGAGCAGCAAGCCGCAGTTTTGTGATTATGTTTTTGACGTGTTAATTTCTAAGCGTAAAGTGTGTTTCTGTTTCGCGTGTACTGTACGCATGGACGCACTGGATATTCAGACTGTAACACTGCCGTTACCTTTCTCTGCGGTAATCGGGTAGGCAAGAAAACCGAAATTTTATGAGAAAAATTTGACTCTGTGAAATGTGTTAAAAGCAAAACCAGCCTTCGTGTACGCTAACATCTTGCATACGGAAATAGTAAATTTTAATTTGCAAAACGCGTGGTCGCACCGCCAACACTGGCTCCCAGCTTGCTGAGTTGAAAGTAGGTGACAAAATTCGCTCGCATTCGAACAAATTTAGCTTTCAAATGTGCGGGTGTATTACGTACGACCATGTGGGAGTTTTGGTGCGAAAATTACTGGCTCGAAAGCCCGAAAACTGGGAAGTTGAAACTTGAATGGGTGCCCTCCATTCTTTTTTTCAAGTTTAGCTTCCAGATACCGGCACGTGAAATTTTCATTGGGGAATTCCTCAGCTTAGGAGTCAAACAGCAGACGACTATTCTTTCATACACGAAATTGTAAAACAGATGTATTTTTAGCAGGTAAACATCCACTGGATGGAAATGCGCAAAACACACGAGCACACCGGCTACCCTGGATCGCGCCGCTATGTATTTTAACTATTTTGCATGTTTATGCAAATGCAAAAACGCATACTGCTAAGTCTGTCTATTTGTGCGTGGGTGTGTGTGTTCCTATGTCGTTTCATAAGATACTCACACCTATGATGCTGTTTTGTTGATTTTCATTTCGTGGAAAAACCGCATATTAGGTTGTTTGGGTCTGATCTTTGTGTCTTTTGGTTCACCCATATTTTCTCATGCTTATCTCTGCATGTACTAGACGATTTGAGCCGAATTTTGGTGAAATTATTCTGTAATTGTTTAGTTTGACGATTTCACTTCAAATTACCCCCATTCTTCGCGGTTTCCAGATCCTGTGCGCAGATGTGGCCAGTTCTGGTAACATTGCTAATGCAGATACTGGCTGTCTACCAATAGCAGTGCTTGAATGCGGGTAGTTGATGCAAAAGGATAAGATATGTGAGGGATAAATTCACGCAGAATTTGCTTTATTTCGCTCAGTATGTACTAGGCAGGTAGCCAAGCTTTTTCAGCTGTTCAAATACCATCTAGCATCTCTTTGCAGTGTTTTGCGCGAAAAAAAAGTGCACGCACAGCATTCACATGGTGGCTTTACTTGCCGCATAGTGAATAATCTCAGGAAATTATTAAAAAAAAAATACAATATTTCCAAACAGAAGCATATTAAGAATAGCAAGATTGCCTGGGTTATCACTGTGGATATCCCATGTTGGTGATTGTACTGGGATACGTATTTGTGTTAAAAACTTATTTCTGCTGCAGTTAAAAGGCACTAAAAACATGTTCTATATTGAAAATGTACTGAGCTGTAATTGTGGTTATAAGAAAAGCACATAACAGTGTTTATTGTAAAAATGTACTATGCGGCAATTACAAAAACAAGAAAGTTATAAAAATTATATGTTTATGTGAGAAGCAGTGGGCGCTTGAAATAGCAATAGCATCGTTTTCCAGCTACGCAGATCTAGCAATTTTTTTAGTTTCTCGGGCCAGTGTCGCGTACGAAACAATAATTATAATTATTTGAACGACAAAAATGTTCTACAAAAAATTATTTGAAAAAATGATGCAATTAAAAAACGTGTTGAACAAACAAATGAGATTTTGAGAAAATAAAGATTATTTATAACTTTGTTCTTACAGTTTACTCCTGTATTACCCCACGGGTTTCTGCAACTCCGATTATAATATAAGTAGCGGTGTGATCTAAAAAAACTTGGAAATCCATAAAAAACGTTCTGTACTGCTCTGTTTGTTCATTTAAGGACTTGAATATGGTGAATGGTTGGTGAATGCGAGAACAAAGAATGTGCAAAGAAGGGAAAAGGAAGGCGAGAGCTTACGCTTGGGAACTTTATCACTTCAAATAGCTTAAAAATAACTCCTCGTGAGGTTATTTTTTGGCTTATTAGAGGATGAGTGATTCGTTCATGTGTTCATTATCTTAACATAAATATTTCCGGACTCTGAACAAAAGGCTTAATTCTCCAGGATGTAATGAATTTTTGTCTTGTTTGCCTGTGGCAAAAATCAGTGCCTCTTCGACTCTTTTCGATCGCTTTTTATGCGTGCTTTGCAGCTACGCATTGCAGAAACGCATATTGACGAGAGGTTGTCTTTGTGTGCGCTGGACCTCTGTACCAACTTTTGATCTCGAGACCAACAAAGCTACAAAGCTGAAACTTTGGCCACTTAATCTACATGCACGTACCATCCCAAAAATGGGCATCTTACCTGCGTAGTACTCATATACGGGTCCGTCAAATTTTTTTACAGGTAAGTCGCTTACTCGCAAACCAGAAAAGTTAGAAAGCTGAAATTTTAAGGGAATGTTTTCTCTCTACGCAAGTCTTAACGAGCTGAAACCCAGCCCTCGGGTATGCGTGGTGCCCAAATGCGGGCCCGCCTGATTTTTTTCGGGTAAGTTGCTAACTCGAGAATTTGAAAAGCTAGAAAACTGTAATTTTAAAGGAATGTTTCCCATTCACGTAGGTATTAACGAGCTCAAACCCAGCCTTCGAGTATCCTTAGATATTTCTCATTGCAGGCTGTTACTTGTGTCGTTTTTGCACCTGGATAGTATTCTTATCATGCTCGTAGTATTCTTTGCAGGTGAAACAAGAAAATGCACCTAATGGAAGCGAGCGCTGTATAGACAATCCTTTTAACATAAATGCAACAGATATTGACGCAGCAATCGTCGATTTTCTCAAGAAAGTGAAACATTTCCAGGACCGTGCATGGAAAGAAAATCCCACTAAGGTTTGACTTTTGATTTTACATTTAACAGGATACTGTGGGTATTCGAAATGCTCTTTTCCATTAACAGAGGTAGAATTCCAACGAGCGGTCCTAACGGTTGCAAGCCTAACATTAAATGGAAGCAGCTAGTGAAATCTTTTAAATTTTTTGCTTCTTTTGGCAATGTTGGCGCTTTTTGCTGGAACTTTTATAATAAAATTCCATCAATAGGAAATTGCTTTTAATGCACGTTTAGAGGGCAGTTTCTGCCAGCTTTGCAAAGCTGGTAACATATTGGTAAGATTGTTATTGCGTAAATTTTTTTTTTTTTTGGTTTTTTCGAAGAAAGTTTCATTGGTTGTGAATCAGAGGGCAGTATTCTCCATTTACAAACTGTATTTTAGGCGAATTCAAAACGTCGATTAGTTTATGGATTGCGTGAAGTTCGTAAGCAGTTGAATTCAGGAACGGCACAGTGTATCATCATGGCAAAAGACATCGAAACCGCTGATCACAGTCATTTCTGAACAATTTCTCGCCCAGTGCTTCGTACTCATTACATTTGACAGCAGTATTAGGGAGTATCAGAAGTAGTCTCCCGAAATAGTAGAGAAAGAAACTGAGTCTAACTGAGAGAGTATAGCTGGAGTTATATTTTGATGTTTCATATGAAGAACTCTCACCTTGCTTCTTCCTCTTCGTCTTCTACTCTTCACTAGTGCCATTAAAAAACAAGGATTTTTTTGGTAACGAAGAAATGCAGTTTGTAGCGACTATTGTATGCAAAACTTCGAAAAAAAAAAGATTTCTTTTATTAAAAGGACTTATAGGCAGTATGCTTTTTTGCAGATGAACTTTTCAATGAAATCGATGTAATTGGGCAGTTATGCGCATCACAGAATGTGAATATGCTGTGGATTTCATCGAAGCATAGCCTAGGTAAAGCGGTAAAGAAGTTCCCTTTTGTATCGGCAGTAGCGGTGTGTGATTTTCGTGGCGCCGAGGTATGTGTGATTCGCCATCAAAAATAACTCTTCAGTAGTTTCGAATAATTTCATCTATTTGGCGAAAAACCAATCTCATGTACGCACAAAATGGAGAAAGTCAAGCGCGCAGATAAAAAATACCTGCACACTTTTTGTGACAGTTGTTAATTCGTGCAGTGTTTCTCCATCTGTGCAGCTAATAGCCTTGTATCAGCACTTACATACAATAGTGCTGAATTACTCACAAAAGTCTATGCTTACGTCATTTTTCCTTGCGAACTTTCCCCCCTTTAGCTGGACACACAGGTAATGAAACTAAATTTTTAGGCTCTCAAAACTTCTTTCTCACTGTTGCAGGATTTGTACGAAGCAGCAGTAGGGATTTGTGAAGAATTCACAGCATGCTGTCGAATAGCAGACCATGTTGACCAGCCATCTTTGTTCGCTTAATTAGACTGGCAATAAAAAGTGTTCCGTCGCTTCAAGACAAACAAAGGAAAGGCTAAAAGGCAAGCAAACAAAAGCAAAAAAAAAGATACGCCAAAAAACTGACCCAAATATGAGATTCGACACACACTGTCTTCAAAACAACAGTGAATGAAAGCAAAAAAACTGAGCCTGTGCGAGTGGAAAATGAACTGTCTTACAGAAGTCTACGTTCACTATTTATGAAACCGATGTTTAGGTGAAGGAAGCTAAGGGCGAATAGGTCCGA